GCAAGATCAAGCATGTTACCAACGCTATTAGAGGATACAACTAACTGGTTGCATTGAAGGTTACTCATGCAACTCTCAAGATGACAGGCAGACGAGCGAATCACACGATCAGCATAAGCACCATCAGCACAGAGCCGTCCATCATTATTCGACCAAGAGCAGCGAGGGAGGTTAAAGTCACCAACCACTAGCAACGTCGAAGATGGGTACAACAGTGAAACCTCCTCCATTGATACACAAAAGCCATCAAGTGAAGTTGAAAAGATGGACGGCGTCAGTGATGAAATTGGTGGCAGATAGGCAACAGAGAGAATGAAGGTGAAACCGTAGTCAAATCTAAGGATCACGTGTTCTAAGTTAAATTAACACGTTTTTATAATTTGATGTGAGCAGGTGTCCTCTATCCAAATCAAGATATCTCCACCTCTTGACTTCCCACTACGAATACTATAGCGATCACTCCTCATGCAGGTATAATCAGGAATCCGAAGAATCGCAACATTAATAGTGCCATCAAACCAGGATTCCGTTAAAACTATAATATTATATCTGTGGGCATTAGTTAGAACATTCTGGATAAAAGTGTCCTATTTAGATTTAAAGCTGTCTATATTCTGGTAATAAACTGAGAGATTAGACAAATTATTGACTGCACTCACATGTTTTTTGAAGAAACAATTTTAGGAATACCATTAAAATATTTTATGTGAAATGAAGATTCCCCTGATGAGACTCGAGAATTCAGTTCAGACAAAACTTCCTTAAGCTGTTGACGCTGCCTTAAATGCGTCTTATCACGGCCACATTTTATTTCCGGGAGCGACTTAAACAGGCTAGAAGCATTTTGGAACACCCAAAAAGCATCATCCGGCGATCGAAAAATAATCTTTAATGGTCTAATCTTGCCAAGAGTTTTTTTCCCAAGGGGCAAAGAGGTAGCCTTCGAGACATCGAAATCAGCCCCTACGAGACGAGACACAAATTCTGTTGTATCTAACGCAGAAGAAGCGCACTCCGGAAAGTTATAGATAATAACATTCGGCTCACTCCTCCGCTGAACATTCAGCTCAGCAAGAGTCTCGTCCTGCGAGGGCAGATTATTAACGGTATCCCCAATAGAATGCACTATTCCCTCGAAATCATCAATGGGAGTAGTCTGAGCAGCCAAAGCAGAATCAACCGCACTTATTTTCGCTAAAAGAGAATCGGTTGCTGTAAGGAGCTCCTGTTGAAGTGTGGCAATCTTGGACTCAATGTTGTCAGAGCGAGAGACAAGATCATCTGAAATTTCGGTGAGTTTATCACACTTTGCATCCAGACCATCAATCTTGCCATCAAAATAGCTTTTCATGTTCTCCCAGAACGCCAAAAGAGAGACAATCTGCTCCGAGTGAATGCCACCAATATCACCCAAATCACTTATCGGATTAGACGCCGATATAGGATTAGAGGGATTAGTCGCTAATCCTTCACACATAACAGCACCCGCAGGCTGCGGAGACAATGACATTAATGGCGAAACCGACTTGGCCCGACTGTCAAAACTATCACAACACTTTTTAAATGCTCCATCCGACAGATGAGAAGTCTTATTCGCACAACTCTTATGATAAAGAGACTTGCTGCGAGGGCACTGAATAGCATCACTAATATTAATAGAGCCCTTAGTTGGGCATGAGAAACACTTCCGCTCGGACATTCCAAAATCCATATAAAACCAATAAATAGTTTAATAAAATAGCTAAACAATAATAGTCACTCAAAACGATTCACAAAAAGTAAATTTTCAACTCAACAACAGGTAGAAGCTCCAATGTATATACAGACCATAAATATAACTGTCAAGGCACGAAGCGGTAAACACGTCTTACTTCTAAGACAGAAGGAAGTAGACTGCGAATTTGAAATTCGAATTCGGAATCGTAATCATTAATTCTAAAAACCCCAACATACAAAATTTAGTGGAAAAGGGTCAACAATAAGAAAAATACTGTCCGTTATCTTGGATCCGTTATTTTAAATTTTAAATTTGACATCAGATTCTTGTTTAACGACCCCCAAAATGCTATTAATAAGTAATTTGGTCAAAATTATTCAAGAATTACATTTTTTTCAATTATTTTTTATTGAAAAATGGCACTTTTCTGCGAGATGCCTGACTTTAGACAGTTTTTTTGTGGTTTTTTTAATATTTTTTTTTTCAAAAAGACCTAACGGCATAAAAAACTACACTTGACAAATTTTTTCGCGTGTTCAAAAAATTTTTTTCCCAAAATTGAAATGAGCAGAGGGTAGCTTATTAGATAAGAAACTTCCTATATATATCTGCTTATATGACACGTATTGACGTAACAAAAGTATAGGCACTATTCGGAGAACTGTGAATTTAGCCCCCTCGATTGTAAGGGAAATTGTTGAAATAATTTTGATCTATGTATACAGTGCTGAGAATCCGATCATTCTCTAATATGGGATACGGCCCTCGCTGGAAATGAAAAGCTGAAATATGAACTGACATCATTTTCCCGTCACTCCTGACACGAAAATTATTAATAATTTTAATTTGAAAATTGTGCAAGGAATAGGAAATGCAATTTGAGAGTCTGTTGAGGGAAATTAAAATCTTAATTTTGAGCTACCAAACACAAAAATTCATCAATAATTATTAGAGTAAACGAGTCTGTTCATGTACCAAGGAAAATCGTGATTTTCACGTATTTTCCGTTGACGAATTAAACATGGAAAATTATCACCGATATCTAGGACAATTAGGGCAATTAATACTGTTGACAAAATTATTTGAACAATTTCCCTTACAATCAAGGGGGTACTTCATAGTCCTACTATTCGGTCAGTGCCAGTGCTCAACGCGATTTTTTTATTATTTAGCAGCTTGATTCTAGATGAACACGTATCACCACCAATTTTATTATATAATTGATGAACAATCTAAAGTCGTAATTCGTTTTTTATTGTATGAAAAAAGAAATATTAACGGTAATAACTTTTAAGAGCTAAACAAATATTCGGTCTTCGATAATTTTAATTTATTAAAGCATTAATATAAAGCAAAATACCATGGAGACTGTATACAGGAGGCGAGACAGGCCTATACCGCCCATGTTAAAGCGTTCAGCAAACCCAAGTCACAGTCCCAAAGTAATTAGCCGATTTCGCGCTGCATGCGGTAGTTAGTGAACTACTAGAAGACTTTCAATATGAGCGCAGCTTATACAGTCTCCATGTTATCGACCATGGTACTGTAGGTGACCCGCACGCGAATATCTTTTTTTATAAAAAAGGATAAATGAATTTTATAGAAAATGAATACTGTTTTACGATAAAAAAGTCTTGCTATTTTGTTCGTAAATGTACATTTTCAAAGTTAAGTAAATAATGTTGAATTTCCTATATTGAAAAAAAAAAAATATATATATATATAATAACTAAATTTTTCGAAAAAGTTTTAGAAGTTTGTTTAAGTGAAATTGTTACACACACGCACACACACTTAGAATGATTTTCAAGGTCATTTGAAGGTCACAGTGATTTTTTGAATAGGAACCCCTATTTTTGATTCCGGATTTGGAAATAACGAGAAATTCTACGTTTAGATGAGGTATTATGTTCCCGCATATATTTAATATAAACAATTAAGACAATTAAGACTATATTTAATATAAACAAAAAATAATTATAATTATTGTAAATTTTTATGTTAAAAATCTATGTTTTTTATACAATTGAATTATGGCTTTCGTAACAATATTTTTCTATTAAAAAGATAATTATTTTACACGGTAAAAATTTCGTGGATAGTTGACAATGACCACATTAATCATCGTAACTATCATTAAAGTTAAGTATATCGAATGTTATTTATTATTAGACATTATATTGTTCAATAAGGAAATATAAAAACAAAAAAAACTATAAAATTATTAAAATCGAGTGATCGAAAACCGTATTCTACCATTTCAAAAAAATAACAAAAACGATATATTGCAAGACTTTTTCATCGTAAAATAGTATTAATTTTCTATAAAATTAATGGATTCCTTTTTACAAAAAGATATACAAGGGCGGGTTATCTTCGTCACCTACAGTACCATGGTCGATAACATGGAGACTGTATACATCTCCATGGTCGATAAGCTGCACTCATATTGTAAGTCTTCTAGTGGTTCACTAACTACCGCGCGTGGCGCTAAAATCGGCTAATTCCCTCCGAGAAAAGGAGAAAGTTGCCTAGATAAAAGGTCTCTGCCTCGCCTCCTGTATACAGTCTCCATGCAAAATACATAAATAAAAAATTTTATGCTGGCCTTTAAGCTCGATTACCCTAGCCTGCAAAGTGTAATGGACAGTAAAAATAAAAAATACCATTCGAAACATCTCTAATTGAACCCTCCAAAAATGCTCATTATTTTAATTGAACCCCTTCAGTTGTCCCAAAAAAAATTAAAAACTATGATAATTTTTTCGTTTTTTGTAACTGCGATATCTTTAGTAATACTTAATATTTTTGCAAAAGAAACAAGGCAAAAAATTGAATCTTTGCTCGTTTTAATTGCACCCCTCTCACTTTTTCAAAATTATTAATATATATGTCAAAAACAACAATCTAACTTTATTGTATGTTCTTTTCAAATAGATTATTGGGTTATTGGGTTATTTGGAAAGAACATACAATAAAGTTAGATTGTTGTTTTTGACATATATATTAATAATTTTGAAAAAGTGAGAGGGGTGCAATTAAAACGAGCAAAGGTTCAATTTTTTGCCTTGTTTCTTTTGCAAAAATATTAAGTATTACTAAAGATATCGCAGTTGCAAAAAACGAAAAAATCATCATAGTTTTTAATTTTTTTTGGGACAACTGAAGGGGTTCAATTAAAATAATGAGCATTTTTGGAGGGTTCAATTAGAGATGTTTCGAATGGTATTTTTTATTTTTACTGTCCATTACACTTTGCAGGCTAGGGTAACCCCGCTTGGCCTTTAACAATTTGAGTTCACGAAACTAATAAACTAATAAACTAATAAAACTATATTTTATTATCTCATGTTTTATATGATAGCGTCATAAATACTACATTTGTTTATTAAAGTGTTGGAATTGTAAATATAAAATGTTTTTAGAAATATCCGTTTACTTTTCAATAAGTGACATTTTAGTTACAGATGAACGATTGCATTCTAAAGTTAATCAGGTTATACCATATTTAGGTATGTTTTAAACTTCAATGAATGAATGAATAAATTATATATATATTGAAATTATTATTTTGAAAAGTGTTTATATATATATATATATATATATATATATAACTTCAAAATCTAATGAATAATATTTTATTGTACAATACATTTATAAAAATTGCTTACCTTATTTATAAATACTATAAATACTATAAAATAATGTATCGCTCATATTATATAGCGAGAAAAAATTCATTGCAAATTGTAAGGATAGAAATATTTTTCTTTAAACTTTGAAAAACTTGTAAGCTAAACATTATTCTATTTCTTAATCTTAATTCAGATTGAGTTTGAATCTTCGGTAATATTTATTAAAGAATTAAAAGTATAGTGATACACACATTCATTAAACAATTTGGAGGAAATTGCTTGATGAACAATTTGTTTTGAACTGTACGTTCATAAAGCAATAGTGGATGATGATATATAATTATTGTGAACAACAGATATGTAAGCGAGAGCACAATAGTTTTGGTTATTTTAAATTTATTTACTAGTAATATTTATAAATAATAAAAGAATATTTATTGTATAATGTATATAATCAAATAGAATTCTTACAAATTTGATGACTAATAATTCAAATAAATAATTCAACTTTCAATAAATAACTTAACTTTAAATTACTACCAATTATTTGACTGCTCAAAAAATATTAATAACTATAACCTATTGCTTTTTCATTTTAAATTTAAATACACCCATAAAATCCATTTCAGTCTCAGTAATTATATTTTATTATATGAAATTTAATTTTATTCTGAAGATTTTTTGTGTCACTAAAGTTCATATAATGTATTTGATCAGCTTTATATTCAGGTCGAAAAGTGTCAGAAAAAATGGAAAGCTAAATCACATGTATGCAATATTTTTATTATTATTTTGACTGAGAACTATGTCTATATCGAATGCTGGAGAGGTACATTAGATGCCTATACACAGTAATCTTGGTTCCCTATAGTCATAAGTATGTAGATCTAACTACCTCACTTGTTTTTCAAATAGTGCAAAAGGAGATATTTTTATATGCATCATGACTGACATATAGTTTGAGGTGGAATCCAACCACCGGAAGATTTATCAATAAATCAATAATAAATAGAAATCTAATATTGTACAATTTGAATACACGAATGGCCTCTGAGTTATATTATAGATTGATAATTTTCTTCTATGTAGAATAATAAGAAATGAATTAGAAGAAAAGTGCAATTTATCATGTTAATATCCAATGCTGGAAACATTAGTTACAAAAATATAGATCAATTTGTTGGTAACTAAAGGGATAATTACTATGATTATGAAGTTTGCAACGTTCATCGTGAACGAAAAAATCGAAAATTTAAATATAAGAATTTGACTACATATATTGCTTTGAATATCAAACTAACAATATAAAATACTATAGTCAGTAGCTTATTCGATTCCTAACGGCTAAAACCACCTTTAAGACAGTTTACACACGAGCAAAGGTGAAGTCGGCTCCTATAAATTTGTGTATTAAAAAACACCAAAAAATTCAGCGCTCAAAAGAATTTTATGAAGGAGAGAATAATACTCCTTACATATGTAAAAAGTTTCCGGGGTAGGAACGCACCCCGTTCACCTTGACACCCTTGCAAAGCATGGTATCCCATACGCGCAAAGGCGAAATCAGCTCGTTTTAATATATTTTTTTCAAAACACCCAAAAATAATTTAATCAAAAGTATTTTATCATGGAGAGGTTACAATTATCTATCTGTGAGCGAAGTTGCGCGCGTCGGAACGAACCCTGTTAACCCTGACACCCTTGCAGAGCTTGGTATTATTACGCGCATACGCGCAAAGGCGAATTTCGATCATATGAATTTGTTTATTATTAAACATTTGAAAATTAAAAACTCAAAAGTTGTTTATTACTTAAGGGTATTGAGGACTACGTATCTATGCAGTTTTGCGCATTGGGAAGCTCTATTACTACCCTCACCATCCTGTGATGTAAAATTTCATTAACGCGAGCATCGGAAAAGAGCGAATTTAACATCGTTCCTTTGTAAATATTCAGAAATCAAGAGCTTAACAGTGGTTTATTTATTAAAGGGTATTAAGGACCTCATGTGTCCAGTTTCCGTTGTTGATTAGTAATCCCTGACAATTCCCACACATTGATGTGGAACTATCCAATTGTCCTCAAGTTCTCTCTGCATTTATCAGGGCTTGAGACCTGCACGTTTCATTTTGAATATTATGAAGCGTGGCTGCACTAAAACTTGTTTCTGTTTTCTAACAGTACTAGTGTCGTCATCGAGTGCTCATTTCTCGTTTGTATTAATATTGGATTTCATGCCTAAGCTCAAACTTAATAACGGTCAACATTAATTCGACAATAAAAATTTAATTACGTTGACATTCGCAGATTTTGTTATTATTTTAATCCGACTATCGTAGCAGATCTTTATTAGGTGTTTGTTAAATTATATAGATAACGGGCAGCGCATTAAGTTCGTTTCATCTTCCGCGTCTAAATAAAACTAATGATTTTGTTTAAAAAAAAACTGGAACGCATTTAAACGAATTTTGGCTTGTTTGAAGCTGTACTTTTGGCAAACTATATTTCACAATTTTAATTTCGGCAATATAACTGTCATTTTCGACCGATTTATTCATAAAAATTTTTGTTATTTTTCTATGTTATGTTTAATTTTAACAATTTTTTAGAATAAATTACTGAACCAGATGAGCCGATCAGTTTATTCACAGTATTTTATTCTATGAAAAAATCTATCAATTTATGTTTCTTTAAATCTTTAACAATGCTTCTTCAAAGATAAACTTTGTAACAGAGATTGCATTCATATGTCCTAAGAATAAATATAATTTAAGAGTTTTACAGTTATTTTATCATATATTGTTTTAAGGTTAGATTATCGAGTAAATATGGACGTTATTTTTTTTTATTGCGTAGGAAGTTTTACGTATTTTTGATTTACTCAATTAATCAATGTAAAATTAATTAAAAATATCTCGATATATTTATTAGCTTCAATTTGCTGAATATATCAGCTGCTGTGCTAATAATGTATTATATACGTATGCATATACTTACTGCCACGTGATGGCAACTCACGTGACAACTTTTCAGCCAAACAAATCACGAATAAACTGCCTTCACTTTTCAGGTCATCATTTTTTTATATAAGAAATAAATATAGGATACTCAGTTTTCTGACTCGCTTTTACACTACTGCATATGTATTATTATTTAAGCTTAGATATTTACTTACAATTAGTCTTCTGACTGACTTTTACGCTACTGCGTATGTATTATTATTTAAGCTTAGATGTATACTTGCAATTAGTCTTCTGACTCGCTTTTACGCTACTGCGTATGTATTATTCTTTAAGGTTCAATGTATTTGAATCATTTCTATTAAACTCGGATTATATCTAATATATATTATCAAATATTTATATATATTTTTAATATACTACTACTTTAATTTTTTTTTGGCTATCATCAATTTTGTATCGTTTACATAGCCTGCATACGAAATCTTTAGAAACATCTTCGTATTCTTGTAATTTTCTCTTTCTACATTTTTTAATTTTTCCAGTCGCATTCAACATTTTTTCTTCATAATCTGTATCAACGTCCGTGTAATGTAAGCAACGTATTTCACATTTTCGGTTGCAACATTTACATTGTATTGATTTTGTTTTAATTTCTGAAAAGCAATACATACAAACGTTTTTCATATTTTCAGGCATTAATAGTAGATCGTTTGCTACTTTCTGTCTGTATACTTCAGGATCAAATGTCATTTCAAAATCTTTTTTGTATCCTAAACAGTGCAAGTACTACATAACAAATACTCCACAGCTATATCCATCATTTTATGGTTGATACGGACGATTGTCTATCGTCCATCTCTTCCAATTTTTAACTTTTATCTTAGCTAATGAGCTAGTTGAATTTTCCGTGAAGTATTGGAAGGCTTTTCTGGCTCGATCTTCATCTGTAGTGTCTCCGTACGGATCTAACACGCAAAACTCTTCCTCTTTAATATTTATCACAAGTAAGTGCCAGTGGCCTTGATATGAATATGGCATCAATAGCGTATCGTGGAGAGGGATTTCAGTTCTGCAAAGCTGTCTTTCCCTGCATATTCGCATTTCACTGAAATCTCCTATAATGATTCCAGTACTATCTGTTGGTATATATGTAACATTTTCCCATTCATCTATACCGGTTGCTACATATGCATCGACAATTTGCCCATCAATCCATAATTTGCTCCTTAATGTATGGAATTCTTTTGCTCGTAACTCATATTCATTGCTTATAGCCATTTTAACACTTTTATATTTAACGATAGCAATGTTGTAAGATTGTGAATTAAAGTAATAGTTAATATCTTTTATAACTCCATTAGGGTACTTCTCAATACACTCCTGGTAAATATTTTGTTTTACAAAGTATTGTTTTTCTTTAATTTCCATTGATTGGATAACATGTTCTATTTACACACGAGCAAAGGTGAAGTCGGCTCGGATAACAATTGTTCTATTTCTGTACTGGACTCGTTAATGATAATGTCCTTTATTTTATCGGTTGTGTTATTTTGATTCTTTAATAATATGATTTCTTCATTAGAATTGTTAACTACTTTAGCTTCATTTTCTTGTTTTCTTTTAGCAGCTGTTATTTTTTTCGAACGTTCTTTTGTTGTTTTTTGTTGTAGTGTCTTACTATTTTTTGTTGTTGTGGGCAATTCTTAACATCTTTTTCCATTTAGTGATGTCTCATTTAATTTCTTTATTTCACTGAAAATTGTAGATGCATTAAAATGAATTTTCTTTTGTTTTCTTTTTAGTTTTAGGTCGGCTAAAACTAAAACTTTCTTATCCCACGACTCCTTCAAATTTGGATTGGGTATCAGTTTGGGGTATTTGACTTTTGGACCGGATGATTTTATTCCTTTTGTGTAAATATCGATTCCTATTAAACCAGCTATATTTTTTCTATTATTATCTAATAATCGGACTACATCGCCAAGATGTAGACTACGTACTACCTAGATACTAGACTTCGTATTACCTTTCAATATTTTTTCTTTCAATACTTTTGTGGCACTTTCAATATATGCATTACTTAATCTAGATATATTGCTATCTATTAAATCCAAATCTAATGAACTCCATAAGATTATATAAGGCATTCATAGTTTCAGTAATAAATCCTGGAGCATAATAATTATTTTGTACCTCTTCATCAATTTCAACATCAGAATTATGTTTCTTTGCATAAGCTATAACGTATATTTTGTTGAAATGATGATAAAACTGCGATTTTTTGTACATAGCTATTTTGTAGCTATAACTTAACATTTCTAATTCATCAATGTTTGAATTATCATTATTCACTTTATCAGTTATGTTCAGAGGTGCAGATACTTTGTTTTTGCAAGA